ATTTCATTAAAGTTTGGGCCCTTCTGTCTACAAACAGTGTTTCCCTACTCTCAGCTGTTTCCATTTAGTTGTTTATCTTAATCAGAGAATTTCTTAGCATTTTAGCTAATGTATTACCCACCTGTTAACATCTCAATATTACCAGTCTGTGGGTGTAACACTATTACATACTAAATGGTTGATAGAACCACTTTTAATCTGCCTTATTTACACATATAATTTTTATAGTTAGTTAGCTAAGTTCATAATGTGCTTTGGGGATGATAAGTGCTACAGAAGATAAGCATTATTTTATCCTTATGGGAAGTAAATCCACATATCTCCAAAGTGTTATCAGTTAATTAAATGCCACTTTACAAGGGGGATAGAGCATGGAAGAGGCTGTGTTCCAGTAGCAGCCTCAGTGTCCACATGCAGTCTTCTCAGAGTTAAATTTCCTAATTGGATAAGCAGGTGAGAGCACACTCTGCAAGCAGGAGGCTGCTGGCATTGCATTTGTTCATACCTCAGCATGTGCAGATCATTCCAGCACAGGCTTCTTTAACCATCAAGGAATTTAAAGCTCCCATTCAACTTCTCACATGTAGTAAAGGAGCAGGTTCTCTCTGCACTTCTCCACTACAAGGAGACAAACCCTCGCTGTTCACCCATTTTCTGGCCAGCTTCACTTCAGCAGTTCTACTGCCCTGGCCTCTCATTTACAGTAATGTGCAAATGGTTTTTATTTTCCCTGATCTTATACACAATGTGTTGTGACTCTTAAAGCCCCTGTGTCCAACCTGGCCTTGAACACTGCCAGGGATGGGGCAGCCACAGCTTCTCTGGGCACCCTGTGCCAGCGCCTCAGCACCCTCACAGGGAAGAGCTTCTGCCTAAGAGCTCATCTCAGTCTCCCCTCTGGCAGGTTAAAGCCATTCCCCTTGTCCTGTCCCTACAGGCCCTTGTCCAAAGCCCCTCTCCAGGTTTCTTGTCAGTCTTTTTAGGTACTGGAAGGCTGCTATAAACAGCCAGACAAGGCTGTTGCTTGTAGAAGGGATTAGCATCTTCTCACCATGCAATGGTCACCAGATGCATAGGGGTCTCATGATGAGCCATATCTTTGTATGCTGTTTCATGATGCAAACTGGAGCCTCCTATATGCCACTAAAGTTAAAAAGCTGTCCCATCTTTGCTGACTCAGGATCCTGTATATGCATAATTCCCACAATTCCCCCAATTCCTCATGGTCATCAACTGGATTCCACATTAGCCCCAGTGGAACAGAATTAGGTACACAGAAGTGTGCTTGGCACTCTCCAGGAAACACAGGGTTGCCAGGAAAGCTAGATGTTCTCTTCAAGTCTCTATTCACTCCAGCTCCTCACTAGCTAAGCGGTTTGTCACACAAACACAGAAACTCCCCCTTTGTAAACACAGAGCCAAACAGAGAAGTTCATTTGTGTGGATCTCCATACAATTGGAGATAATCTGGACCACAATTTTTGCTTATGTAAATGTCAGCACACAGAAAATTAGGTTTGGACCAAGGAGACAAGCTGTAGCTAATACCTGCAGTAAAGTGTACATGTTCTTTCCTCACCTTCATTAGCTTTCTCTGAATGCCTCCTGAACAAGAAAATTTCATCCATAAAAGTGACTAGACACATTAAAAATGCTCCAAATCCTTAGGTAAGTGCATGCACACACAAACTGCTCCATGTCAAAGGGCTCCCCTGCACTTCATGGCAACCAGGACAGTCATCCGATTAGAGACCAGCAGAAAGCAACAGAAAAGCAACAAGGAAAACCCACAAGACTTGTGCAATAATGAACTTTTAGAAAGAACCAAGCACATATCCAGTTCCCAATCAGTTTGAGGCCAAGAGACAACTGAGTAGACAAATTCAGACAAACCCAAGTCTTCTCATAGATACTTTATGAATTACAGCTAGGATAACACTCAGCAAAGGCGCTGTCTGCTGCGGTGGCTCCCAGATCCTGTTTAGCATCCCCAAGGCACTGTGCCAACCGCCATCTGAAAGAAGCACCCCATGGCTGACATGGCAGAGCTTTGTGCAGTGGCAACCCCAGCTAAGAGTAGCTGAAGGACACCACAAAAGCAAGGTCTATCACCTGGAAAGTGAGGGGTTACTGTATGGGGCAGATGGGACCATGTCTGTGACAGCTCTTCTGCATGGAGAGGAGTTAAGAGAGAGCCTGGTGTTATTTCCAGAATGGTACTGTAGAGAAATGTCCTTCAAAAGGAAGGATTGTGTAAAGCCATTCCTTTACCAGCACCAAGGCAGTGTGTTTAAGCCTGTTTTCACAGCCAGCACTAGCAGAAATGAATAAATATATACATAAGAAGAGGGCTGCCGCATCGGAGAGCTGTGCTTTCCAACATGCTTTACGCTACAGGATTCAAACCCCAAAATCATACCATGGGAAGGTCAGATTGCTCTTTTGATCCCTACAGAATGCAGCTCTTCAAGAGACTGTTTTTTAAAGATGGCTTCAACTCCCACTGAAATCCAGCCAAGTCCTGCAAGGCACAAAATAATCCATAGCTGACTGCACCCAAACTGTGGTCTAGTTTCTCTCTTTGGCCAAATGCTTCCCAGTCTCCCTGAGGTGCAGGGGCTCCCCACAGGCTACTCTATATGATGTTCTGTGGCTTTGGACATGATAAACCATCAGTCAGATTTAAACCAAAGCATAACTTCACACAACAGAGAGAGCTCTCTCAGTGGCTGCGTTCTGCAGGCAGCCTGTCTGAGAGCATATGGTGATTTTGTCAGGCACTTCTCACCCGCATGCAACTTCTCTATTCTAAAGTCAAAAAAAAACCAAGTGAGTTCCTAGTTGCATACCTCAAGCAGGCACCAGGATTTCAGCACTGGGTATTCTCCAGGTGCCCTGAATGAACATCATTTTGGGCACAGCAATCTCCTGGCTGCCAGCACACTTTACTGGCTCCTCTTAGTGGCGATAAGGATTCACCTGCCCCCCCCAACCTGCTCTAGAGCCATGTGTCACTGACGCACAAGCGCAGACATCCCTCCAAGAACAGAGCACACTGTACTCTTCTCAAAATCACATGTACCAACGTGCTTAAACCACGACTACCAAATATATACTTGTCCCAAAGTTACATAAGTGCCATGCCAGAGCTATTTTGCAGCCAGACTCAGCAGTGCTCCTATAAATCACCCCAGCATGCAGCAGCCAGATAAGCTGCCACACCTGACATTTGACATGGGTTAGTGGTGGACTTGGCAGTGCTGGCTGGCTGGATTTGATGATCTGAAAGGTCTTTTCCGACCTATCTGATTCTATGATTCAGGTGCTCAGCTTTCTGCCTGCCTAAGAAAATGTTTGGGATACAGCAATGTCTCTGTTACCTTCCTGCCTCCCCTGGCCTTCAGGTGCACGAGTGCTCTTCAGCACTGAGCAGCCTCTGCACCACACCGTGCTCACAGCAGCCCACAGAGGAAGCAGCACATTCAGAGCTGTCCTTGCACTCAGCTCCTGTCACAAGCACCAGCTACTCCAACACAGCCCAGAGCACAGGAGCAGGGAGTCCCATGTTAATCTCCACAGCAGAAGGGTAATAACTTAGTGTCAACTCTCTCTGTATTTGCAGGAATGGTAGATGGCATCGTGACTACTTGCGCAATACTAAGGTCCCAGTACGAGGTCTCTTGCCTCAAACTGCAGCTATTCCCCCTTTTCAAATAAGTGCTAAAATCTTCCTGGAAACTTCTTCCCAGCAATTCCAGTTTCACAGTTTGACTGGAAATAACATCCAGCTTCCTACCCTGTTCCTCACGATTCTTATTTTTCACCTTGTTGGTCACCCAATAGTGCTGCTTCGACATCTTTGGTGCTGAGCACTCTCACAGCCAGGACAGGGTTTTCATCAAGTCACAATGAAAATTACACTTGCCCACCCAGCTCAGGGCTTCTTGTTTTGTACCGTGCCTCCCCAAAGTACAAACACCAATTGAAACAACTACTATGCAGCAGGAAAGGTATCTTGTGTTCCAGCACCTGTCTCACGTCCTCAGTGCACACGTAAAATTGCAATAGCACTGACTCCACAGGGAGCCACAGCGGCTTTCAGATCCACACACACCTATCCATGCATTAGCCTCCTACTGAAAACTTGGGAGAGGGAATCACACTGACAAAAACATTAACTGGGCTGCTTCTGATACAGGCAAACTTGAATTGTTAACGCTACAGAGACGGGAAGCCATCAACAGGGCTCTTGACTGAGATTACATTCCCAGTTGTGATCCCACAGGGAACAATTTCCAAGAAGTTAGCTTCCCCAGCCAGTGTTTTAATTAGAAACCTCACCTAGATACCTCGTATCTTCACGCCTCTCTATCCCGCATGGCATCTTTAAAACTCTCTTTCTGCATCTCCGAACTACTGAACCTGGTGAGATTTTAATGGAAATCCCTTCCCTACGCTATAAACAGAAGATTACTTGAGATTTTAATTAGCAGCTGTCAATGCTGAGCCATAGGAAACACTGAACAGTTTGCTTAACTTACTAGAGAAAGTGTCGTTTGCTTTCCAACCTTCTGCACTCGAATGATGCAACACAATTGAGCCGTTTAAAAACTCCCTTTCACTAAACCAAACTCCAAGGTAGTAAAATCCATTCCCTCGATCAATATACAGCGTGCAGCTCCAGCCCGTGTTAGCCCGCTGAACATCCTCCTCATCCGATGCAGAAATCATGCCACTGTGATTTCCTGACCATTATTACAAACCTAAAAGGCAGCATTATGTTATTCCCATTTCCTCCCATCCTGTGCAATGTACTCTGAGCTTTAAACACAAACGGAACTTGGAAATCAGATACTAAATCGATTCAGTGCACGGAGCCTCCGTTTGCAGGTTTATACAGGAAAGAGCGCGGTTCTACCAAGCCAGCCCTGTGCCCACTGCCTCCATTCACCCCCGCGCCGTACCCTAATGACAATTAAAAGCAGCAGAACTGTTCCTACCGTTCAGCTGCCTGTAGACGATGTCTTCCAGGAGGGAAAGTCTCTTCAGCACTGCGTCCTGGATGGAGCTGATGCCGTGCGCGGTCAAGTTGGCCACTTCTGCCCTGGGGTGGATGTCATGGAAGGAGTCGCCACTCTTGGCCGTGATGGGTCTGCACTTGGCCAGGAAAAGGACGAAGCCGGCCACCGCGATCAAGTTTAACACCAGCAGGACTTTGACTCTCCGCAAAGAAGCCATCAAACTTCCCGAGGGGCCCCGCCAGCCGCCGCGCTGCCTGCAGGGGCTAAGGGAGCGGGAGCGGGCCGCCAGCCGCCCGCCGCTGCGCGCACATCCCACGGCGCGGAGGGCTGCGCTCCCCGGCCCGGCCCCGCGCTCACCGCGGAGGGCTGCGGGGCGCCGGGAGGAGAAGCGCGGGCTCGCCGAGGCGCGGCGGAGCTACGGCCCCGCACAGGAGACGCCACCGCCGCCGGGGCAGCCCGCCCCGCTCCGCCCGCCGCCGCGCTGCCGCCGGCGCAACTTCATGCCCCGCGCAGGGCGCCCGCGCCTGGGCTCCCGAGCGACCGCGGGGCCCTGCGGCAGCGCCGCCGCGCCTGCCTCCGCCGGTGCGCGGGAGGGCGCGGGGCCGCTGCTGCGCTGCGCGGACGGGGCATGCCCCGCCGCCGCGCTGCACCGCGGCCGGGAGGGGAGGGGAGGGAGGAGGGAGCAGGGGGCGGGCGCGGAGTCGCGCGCAGGTCCCGCCCCTCGCGGTGCGCGGAGAGGCGGCGGGGAGAGGTCACGCCGGAGCCCCGTGGGCGCGCAGGGCCGGCAGCGCCGCTCCGCGCATCAACCGCGCCTGCGGAGAGCGGCCCCGCCGCCGCCCGGCTGACGGCAAATCCCGGCCTGGAAGACGGAGCGCGGCGAGGGGCCCAGCCCCGCGGGCTGCGGGATGAGCGGCCCCGCAGCTGGGTCCGCGCCTTCCACCGGCCGCCCGCAGCGTCCCGATGGGGACGGGCACCGGTACCGCACATCTGCTGTGCAGGATGAGGGAAGGTTTGAGCCCGCGGGGTTCCTCCAGCGGGTGGGATGCGTGCCCGTTCCTGTGTCCTCTCACCTGGAAACCCGGCTTTCCCACAGGCATGCCCTAACAAACGAAGCAAACCGTCCCGCTTTCCCACACATGCCCCAAATCCCCCGTGTCAGGGCACCTGAATGGCCTAAGAAGGGCTTGAGTTGGAATGGACTTTAAAGCTCATCCAGTTCCAGCCCCCTGCCACAGGCAGGGACACCTTCCACTAGAGCAGCTTGCTCCAAGCCCCCGTGTCCAACCTGGCCTTGAACACTGCCAGGGATGGGGCAGCCACAGCTCCCCTGGGCACCCTGTGCCAGCGCCTCAGCACCCTCACAGGGAAGAGCTTCTGTCTAAGAGCTCATCTCAGTCTCCCCTCTGGCAGGTTAAAGCCGTTCCCCTTGTCCTGTCCCTACAGGCCCTTGTCCAAAGCCCTTCTCCAGGTTTCCTGTAGCCCCCTTTAGCTCTGAGGTCTCCCCTGAGACTTCTCAAGGCTGAACAAGCCCCAGCTCTCTCAGCTTTTTGCTGGTGCTGAGTGGAAGCTTGTCCCAACACCTGCAGGTTTGCGGGTTCTTCTGGGGGGTTCTGGCATGTGATAAACAGAAGAGTCTTGTTTCCAGAGCTGTCAACTGAGCTGCTTTTCCTCTTAACAATAAAAGCACCTTTTGTTAAAAAACAAACCCATAAATCTCAAAGCAAACAGATCCCAACACAGCTTTGCAGAGCTGTTTACCAGAAAGTGAAGCCACATGGCCCAGATCACCAGGAGCTGAAATTCTTATGCAAACATAAAACTACCTGCTGCTAATTTTAAACCAGCCTCAGATAAAGCTGACCCATCCCAGCCAGTCCTTCATTACACAGCGCTCCCACCAAAGCCCCTGTTGGTGCATTACACAGAAACAGCAAGATCTATTTTAATGGTAAAACCCTGGTTGGAAAAAGCTAGATTTGAAGAAGTTTGGCACATGACTATTACATATAACCCTAATACAGAGGTAACATAAAAGTCTTAGCGTATTTTCAAAAGGGGGATCAAGAGAATTTGAAGCAGATCCTTGTTGAAGGCCAAGGAGAATATTTGTGTCCCCAGGAAAGGGGCAGAATTAAGTCTCCAAATAAAGCAGGGAGAGAGGGAGGAAGTTACAATTCATCTTACATTAACCGTGTGCCGCTGTGTGTAGTTCCAGGACACCTGAGTGCTTGGACCATGTGCGATCCCAATTGTCACAGCATGTCAGGACATAATAAACAAGTCCAAAAAACTACGAAAACAAAAATCAAACCCATACTCTGCATGGGACATAGCATGAGTGCTAGCAATTTAGACTACCCATGTGCTCAGCAACCAGCTATACAGCCCTACCCTATCCACCAGGATTACCTTCAAATCCCTTCCCACGCATCTGGGGGTGTTGCTGCTTTTCTTTGTATAACAGGTAGAACCAATAGCACCACGTTTGAAGCTCTGTGAGCTAACAGCAAACAGCCATCACCTGGGCAGTGCTCAGCCCAGCTGCAGAACATCTCCCACCAGAGCAGGGTTTCACTTGAGCTTCACACCAGTGCAACACTGAAAACAATTTAAATCCCAAGTATGAAACCGTGGTTTGCTATAAGCATGAAAAGGTTTGCCAAGACCTCTCTGTAAATCAGGACTAGCTCAACCAGCACCAGGAGGGTTTGGGATTCTTCCTTTTGTCTCATTTTTTCATTGTCATTACATTCCTACCAAGAAGAAAAAAGCATAAAACACTGTTACTAAATAGAGAAGAACTAAAGGGTTTTTATCAGGGAGAGAAGATTAGTTTGCATGTCTAATATAAAGATTCTATTTTTGCCCAATACAGCGGAGTTCCACCAACAGCACACACGCTCTTTTCAAGTGCTAGCCAAAATAATTACTGCTCTTCTTCTGTGGGGGGAAAAATCCACCAAATCATGAATATTCAATGAATTGGTTAATGACATAATAATCCTTCAGCTCAAATCTCTGCTCCTTAACACACAGCAAACACTAGCTGCCAGTTACAAGAACTAAAGATACAAAAATAACTTCATTTCTAGAAGTTATGTCACCCTGATAGCTTTAGAAGTATATGATGGAGGTACTATGCCATGACACATCTGGAGCAGACTTTCCTCATCTTCTGGTAGATGTAAATCAGGCAGAAATAAAAGGGTTTCTTTCTACTTACTGGAGCCAGTCAGCACTGTGCGCTCCCCAGGGCACATGGCCAAGGTGCCTTCTCACAGCTCAACCCTCTCCTAACCTGCTCCAGGCCTGGCAGCAAGCAAGGGTGATGCCATGGGGACCTGTACCCACCTGGGGAGGTCCAAACATCTACATTTCCATCCCAAACACCAGAAACAAAGCACGTGCTTGGGTCTCCTTAGATAAATCTGCTTGAGCTGCATAAACGAGCTTTTCTGTGACTTTGAATTTCTGTATAAAAACCATCCTCTGCAAGAGGGAAAGGAAATCCAAAACAAACAAACCAAAAAAAAAAACCCCACAAGGGCCCAATTCAAAGCCATGAGCTCTTTCCTCAAAATCTGAAAGTTCTGGCTGGAGTATTGTTACTGCAATTGGGTTTCTCTGTTTTCAGGCTGAAAGATGGTGCTCAGGAGTTGCCAGTCTTTCTTTTTTTCTCTCAGGCACTTGGGCCTACAAGCTGGAGAGGAGCTTTGGACAAGGTCCTGCAGAGACAGGACAAGGGGAATGTCTTTAACCTTCCAAAGGGGAGACTGAGATGAGCGCTTAGGCAGAAGTTCTTCCTGTGAGGGTGCTGAGGCGCTGGCACAGGGTGCCCAGAGAAGCTGTGGCTGCCCCATCCCTGGTAGTGTTCAAGGCCAGGTTGGACACAGGGGCTTGGAGCAAGCTGCTCTAGTGGAATGTGTCCCTGTCCGTAGCAGGGGTTGGGACTGTATGAGCTTTAAGCTCCCTTTCAACCCAAACCAGACTGGGATTCTATGACTATTCAGCTTTAATTTTGTTCCTTTGCTGCCCAAAACCACCTCTGAGAAAGTCCTCCCCCATCACACCAGGTGAATTTAATCCTCCATATTGCCTATGGGCTCTTTGGTTTTTTATGCTAATGTTTCTCTATGGCTCCATGAAGTGGTAGTGGCTTCTCCTGGAGGCTGGGAGTGTGCACGCTCCCTTTGGCAGCAGTTTGGAATGGGCAGATGCAACAGGACGTGCAGCACAAGGCCTCGCTGCATGCAGAACTCCAGTCCTGCGTTGCGGGGTCATCACCGCCCATTACATCTCTCCATTCCCTCTCTTCTTTGGCCAGCTTGTGAAATGAGTAAGCGCTTGTAATAAAAGGTTTATTTTTTTCCCCAACAGCTAATATTAAAAGTTGACAGCACATTGTCTGTGCTCTCTGGATTCCTTTTTGACAGTAATTTAGGCAAGTATTTAACATCAGGGAGTGAACCCTTTATCTCCAGCCTTTAAAAGTTCCCTCCATGAAGGGAACAGATAATGCACAAAAGTAACTTTCTTCAGTTTTATCTTCAAAGTTTGGGAACATATTTAGTTCTCTGTTACAATAACTCTATTCATATTTCATGAATTTTTAATTCTAAGCTATGCACATGGACAGCTCATCACTGACACATCAGGGCAATGCCGTGAAAAAACAAGCAACTTATTGTACTTCCAGCTTATGAGATTGCTTGATGGTTCCCTCAAGGATATTAAAAATAGATCTTTGCAATGGTTATCAATAAGCATCTATCTTTCAGGGTCAGCATTTCTAAAGCTTCTAGAATGGCTTCAACTCATGACTGAGTTCAGAAATGAAAGAATTCCCTCAGAAAAAGCAAAATCAGAGCTTAAAGCTCACCTACTCTTCAGTTCTGTTGCTTTGAATTTCAGTATTCAGCTTGGTGACCACAGCTTCTCTGGGCACCAGCGCCTCACCATCCCCACAGGGAACAACTTCTGCCTAAGAGCTCATCTCAATCTCCCTTCTAGCAGGTTAAAGCCATTCCCCTTGTCCTGTCCCTACAGGCCCTTGTCCAAAGCCCCTCTTCAGATTTCTTGTTGGCCCTCTTTATATATTGGATTATTATAAGGCATCCCCTTACATGCCTTATATCAAGTACTCAGCTTAGGGTCAAGACTTGGAGCCTTCTCTGAGCCACTGGATCCTGGGTGCAGTGCAATGCCCTCTCCAGCACCCTGCTCCCTGCAATTAAGAGCAGCGCTGAGGCAGGGACGGCAGCTCAGAGGCATAGGGACTGAAGTAAGAAGCCATATTCAAGACTTGCCCATGTGCAGCTACAGATACCAGTGCAAAACTGACACCTCACCTGCTTTATTTTCCTTCTCTACAAGAGCTCTCCATGTATTGGTGTCAAAAAAACAAAGAATATAGTCTTAAATAGAGAAAATGGAAGAGAATATGATGAGCTTTAC